GAGACCGTGGGCCCCTGGGCAATTGCCCAATTGCCCATATGGTTAATCCGGCCTTGCAGGTGATGCAGGTGAGATGGGGAGGTAATGCGTCAGCCTCTTTTGGGGTCAGTAATGGTGTGTGACAAGGTGGGATTTTATCTCCTGCTCTTTTTAATCTTGTTATGGATGATCTGTCACAGAGACTAAATGCATGTAAAACTGGTTGTGCTATTGGTTCTACCCTCGTAAATCCTTTGATGTATGCAGATGATCTTGTTGTATTCAGTCCCAGTAGTGCAGGACTCCAAGAACTTTTCAATATTTGTTCTGAGTGGAACATGATATAATATGTAATGCCAGTAAAAGAGTTGTTATGATCAGCAGGACTAAGGATGACAAAATGTGAGATTTCCTCAGTTATCATGTGGAAATACTCTGACTGTGGGTAATAAAGTCAAATATCTGGRGCATTTTGTCACTGAAGACCTGACTGATGATGATGATATTCACAGGCAGTGTTGCCTGGTGTATGGACAGGCTAATATGCTCATCAGGAGGTTTGGTGCTTGTACTGATGAGGTAAAGACATCTCTGTTTAAGGCCTACTGCACACCTTTATATTTGTGGTCTAACTTCCAGAGCGTTAGCATGAATAAACTTAACGTGGCGTCCAACGATTACCTCAGACTCTTASTGAAGAAGCCAAGATGAAAGTGCCAGTCAACTCTTTGTGACAACTGGGCTCAAAACTTTTCAGGCTCTTTTAAGAAATTAGATGTTTAAATTTATTGGTCGTCAATGCAGACTCAGTGTAACACGGTACCAGTCCCAGTTGTGGAGGTACTGGTACAGCTGTCTTTTTTATAGTTGGTTTTGTTTTGTTTGTTCTTGGGTTTTATTGTTAATCTGCTTGTCTTGTCTTTCTTCTGTGGACCATGAGTCTGTAATAAAGGTTTGAATATCCAAATACAATAGAAAGTCGTCTAAACATATTTGGTCTCTGCATGAAATACAAACTAAAATGAATGAATCATTCAAACCTGGGTTCAATACAAGCTGTTATCAACATTGTAMGAGAATTTTTCTTCATCTAACGATGTGTTTGAGCGTTCAGGAGAGCAGCTGCTGCGGTTTGAAGGAATACAAATTGATTATTTTCACGTTGTACACAACACAGTCTGAGCCAGAATGAAACTTTGATTGTACTTCAAAAGAAGTGGAGAAAATCCACCAATCACTGRCAGGCGTCTCATCAAAGAAGAGATTCTTATCTCAGCAAACATGCACGTCTCTTTCAGGCCTGATGTCCTCCTCGTCTGACTCGCTGCTATCTGAAACATGGATTTTACTGAGGCTGATAAGACTGCAGACATGTTTGAGTTTGAGTTGTTGAGCTAACCTTTGTGTTTGTCAGAGCAAACAGCACCGTGTGGCGCTGCAGACGTAGCTGAAGCTGATAACCCGGGAAGGTTCAGCTATCTTATAAACACAAACAAAACAAACTGCAGGAGCTAAAGGTGCCTTTTTCTGTCCAACAGACACTACAAATAAATCTGCAGCTCACTGTTTCTGTCTTCTTTTAGCTTTAATGGCTCAGTTTTAGCTTCTTTCTTCATCAGTCGTTCAGTATGAAGCATTGAAACTGTAATTTTTCATGTCGTATTTCAACAATGTTTCTGTATTTGCCACTTCTTATGCTACCTTTAGCTTCTAGCTACTTTTAGCTTTAAAATAGACTTTGGCTACTTTTGGCTTTAAATAAGCCTTTTGCTTCTTTTATCTAGTGTTTTGTTACTTTTTGCTAATATTAGCTAGAATTGTGCCCATTTTAGCTTTTAGCTAGTGTTCTTCTGCTTTTGGCTTTAACCACCCGCTCTCAGCTTTTTAAAGGGATCCCCCATTAGTTGTAACATTAGACTTTATTTACTAAACTAATATTTTAACTGTAAAATAAAGACTGGAAAAATACTGTTGGCTGTTTAAAAAGGAAAAAAATTGTATAGGTCTTCTGGACGGTTTCTTCTCTAATGAAACGTTTCGTCTCTCCTCCAAGAG